TCGCCTGCCACAAGCGCAGCCCCTTTCCCGGAGCCGTCCTCCGACTGCAGGAAGGTGACGGTGCAGTTGGGCGCCAGGTCCCGCAGCATCTGCTGGAGGTGCTGGGAGAAGCTGGGGGAAATGGGAGGAGAGGGTGAAGGCTGGTGTCGCCCACCCCGGCCACTCCACGGCTCTCCCAAACCCCTGCCGTAGGGCATGGGTCCTCGGTGGGTGCTTGTCTCCCCCTGCCCCACTCACCGTGGGTGCAACTTGTACAAGGTGCCGTCCACCCCCACGGTGACAGCCAGCTGGGCCAGGCCCCGGTTCTCCCTCATCTTCTCCACCACAGCAGCCAGGCCGGCGGCGCAGAGCTGAGCTGCCCGCAGGGACACGGTCTGGCATACCTCCCGCACCAGCACGCTGTCCTCGAAGCTGGCCTGGAGCTCCAGATCCTGCAGGATGGAACGTACCTGCCGCAGGCCCAGCCCATCGCTGTCCCAGACCAGGGGCACTGTTAGAACCACTGTTCCCATCACCGTCCCCATCACCATCCCCATCCCACAGACTGGAGGTGGCACCACCCTGCATGTGCCCTCCCAGTGTGGCGTGCCCCCCACCACACAGGGCTCTGGTTTCACACCCCCCTCCCCGGGCTAAGGGAACCCACTGGAGCCCAGCACTCACATCTCGATGGTGGAGAGGAACTTGGTCTGGAAGATGTCCCTGGTCTGAAGTTTGGGGCAGGGCTTGCCGTGGAACAGGAGCTTTTTCTCCACCAGTGTCAGCAGGATGTGGCGCACGATCTCGCCCAGGTACATGCCACTGATGAGCTTCTCAAACCTACCCCAGAAACAGCCTTAGCCAGGCACAGCCTCCCCCTGCCCCTGTCCCCTTCCCGCCCCGGGGCCCTCACCCACCTCTGCTTGCCCGGGTTGATTGTTTTCTCATCCACCAGCCGGTCAAAGTCGGTGAAGATGTCATCCAAGCAGCCGTTGTCCCCGAAGGCCCCCCACTCCATGTTGATGCACATGCGGCCCTGCTCCCCCTCCACGGTGCCCACATTCTGCATCTCCTCCATGTAGCAGGCATTGGTCCCTGTCCCTGCGGGTGCCATGCTGGTGTCACCACCACAGCCCCAGCAGAGCCTGACACCCTACAGCCATGCTGGGCAGGCTGGGGTGATGGTGAGGGAATGGGAGACCCCTGGGAGAGGTGGTCCTCACCCACGATGAGGCCGATTTCACATTTAGGGTCATCATAGCCACAGGACATCATGGTTCCCACTGTGTCGTTGACCACAGCCACCACCTTCAGCGCTAAGTGCTGCCAAATCGGAGATGGGGACACATGCGGCTTAGTGGCACCCAGATGGCTCCTGGAGCTGGCACCGCCTGGGTGCAGGGTGGCACCATGGGGACAGGTGACGGGCCCTCAGTCCTTGCCTACCTGTTTGCGCTGGGCAGCTTCCCGCAGCAGCTGAACCACGTCCTGTCCCACACAGCCCGAGGCACTGAAGCCTTTTGTCCAGCTCAGCAGCACTGCCTGCAGGAGAGGCAGGAGCAGGGGCTGGGCAGCTGCTTTGCACCCCAGCACCCTCCCAGTTCCCCTGGGGCCAGAGCCATCCCCTCACCTTATCCAGGCCCAGCTGCTGGCAGGGGAAGGAGAAGATGAAGCCGAGCGGCAGGACCTGCTCCATCAGGTTCTGCTTCAGCTGGAAGTCCATGATGCACTCGATGATGTGATCGAAGAGCTGTGGAGAGCAGCCATGGTCTCAGGGGCCAAGCTGGGGCAATGCCGTGGGGGTCTCCCAGCCCCCTCCTGGGCCTGTGGGCAGCGAGAGAGGAGGCGATTCCCACCCCTCGCCCCATCCCTCATCCACGGGTCCTCAGCCTCACCGCCTCGCCAGTGCCCTGTGTGATGGCAGTCGGAATGACGTAGATCTCGTTGGCCATGCGGATGCCATCCTGTGCCACGCGTACCACCAGCACCCGGAAATTGGTCCCCCCCAGGTCCAATGCCAGGAATTCGCCTCGCTCTGCAGGGAGCCAGCACAGGGCATCAGCAGTGCCACCACCTCCGCAGCACCTCCTTCCCCAGGTCTCCAGCCCTCACCGGTGCCATCGGGTGTGCCACAGACATAGGTGGGCAGCATGCGGACGGAAGCATTGGCATTGGTCTCCCGGCCCAGCCCCAGCTCCATCTCTCGTCTCATCAGCGCCTGGACACGCTGCAGGTCGGCGCGGCTGAGCCGCAGCGGGGCCAGCAACTGGTCCACCTCACGGCGGTGGGCTGCCAGGCGCAAAGCCACCGCAGTCACCATGGCCGCCCCCTTCCCGGTCCCATCTACCGAGGGCAGGAGGGTGGCCATGCACTCAGGGGCTAGCAGCGCGATCACACTGTGCAGGATCTCCCCAAACCTGCCAGATGAAGAAGAAAATGGCGAGGGTTGGACATGATGCATCCTACTAGGGTGGGACCTCATCCAGAGCCCCATGTCCCTCCTCACCTGGTGTGGCCCCGGTACAATTCGCCATCCACCGCTACATTGACCACCAACCGCTCCAGCTCCCGGCTCTGGCACATGTGGCTGAGGATGGCAGCCAGCCCGGCACCGCAAAGTGCGGCGGCACGGCTCACGACGGCCCGGCAGATCTGCTGCAACCGGCAGCAATCCCGCTCACTTGGCCGCAGCCCCAAAGCCTCCAGTGCCGTCCTCGCCTTGGTCATGCCTTCCTCATTGCTGCAAGGGAGAGCACAGCAGTGGCTTATGGGGCCACCAGCTTGCAGCTGGGGGCACCCACCTGTCACACACACCCCTCCTCCCACCCACAGCAGCTTCTGGTCGCCAAACACTCACTCGATGATCTCCAGGACTTGCTGGGTCTTGAGCACACCTTTGGTTCCCAGGACGGTGGCACTGCTCCCAATGAAGAGTGCTTTCTCTGCAGCCAGGGCGGTCAGCACGTGCCGGACGATCTCCCCCAGGTACAGGCCGCCCACCAGCTTCTCAAACCTGCATGCAGCCCAAGCAGGAGTCAACCATCCCCCCCCAGCACCCCTCAGCCCTTTGAGAGCACCCAGGAGCATCACAGGGGGCCATGTGCTCCTGTTGGTGAGGCCTGATGTGCTCAGGGATGGATGGGGAGCCCCGGGGACCCTGCCCTCGCTGGGGTATTGGAGCACCTTTTCTTCCCAGGGTTGGAGGATTCCTGGTCCACGCGCTGGTCATAGGGGGTCAGGATGTCATTCAGTGTGCCATCATCCCCGAAGCAGCCCCACTCAGTGTTGACACACATCCGCCCACTGGTCTCCTCTGCCATCTCCACCTGCTGTGCTTCGGCCATGAAGCAGCTGTTGGTGCCCTTGTCTGTGGGGAGCGATGGGGTTGAGCACTGGTGCAGCCCATCCCGCCAGCAGCCACCACCCTGCCACACAGGATGCCTGCTGCTCACCCACGATCAAGGCGACCTCACAGGGTTTCTCCCTCATGCTGCTGGACATCATGGTGCCCACAGTATCATTCACTAGGGCAACAACTTCCACGTGGGAGAGCTGGCCAGGGGACAAAGCGAGAGCATCGTCAGCCCCTCCATGGGGTAGCCCCCAGCCAGGTCCCCCCAACCCCACCATCCCCCACCTGCTGCTTGTTGATGGCTGACTGCAGCAACTGCACAACGTCCTTCCCCTCCACATCACTGCAGCTGAAGCCCTTGGACCAGGAGATGAGTTCGGCCTGTGGAGAGCACATAGCCAAGCTGATGGCCTCCATCACCGGGCCAGCTCTGCTCCCCAGTGACGACATGCTGGGGAAGAGGCAGCTGCAGGACAGGGTTGTCCAACTCACCTTGTCCAGCCGTGTCTGCCTGCAGCTGAAGGGGAAGACGAAGCCTAAGGGGAGGTGATGCTGGGGGCTGCTGATGCCAGCCAGGAACTGGCGCAGACATTGTGCAATGAAGTCAAAGAGCTGCAAAGGCACGGCCAGGGTGACCAGCTGCTCCCCCTTACCCAGCACCCAGGCTGCGGGAGGCAGCCCAGAGCCCCAGCACCGGCCCGGAGCCCTGCCGAGCCTCTGTGGTGGCCAGCACTAGCCACCCTCCGCCATGGCCTCCTCATACCGCTTCCCCCTTGCCCTCCATGATGTCCCCTGGCATGTCGAAGATCCTGTTCGTCACTTGGGGGCTCTGGTTCCCGTCGCCCTGGAGGCTCATCCACAGGGTCTGGACATGGCTCTGGCACAGCTCCACCACTAGCAAGTTACCCTCCTCTACAGGGGAGCAGAGGTGGTGTCAGGCAG